GAAAGAATATAATGCAGAAAAAAGGAGGAAGAAAAAAGAATATAAAATATAATGCAGAAAAAAGAAAAGGAAGAAAGAAAAGAATATAATGCAGAAAGAAGGAGGAAGAAAGAAAGAATATAATGCAGAAAAAGGAGGAAGAAAGAAAGAAATATAATGCAGAAAGAAGGAGGAAGAAAGAAAGAATATAATGCAGAAAAAGGGAGGAAGAAAGAAAGAATATAATGCAGAAAGAAGGAGGAAGAAAGAAAGAATATAATGCAGAAAAAGGGAGGAAGAAAGAAAGAATATAATGCAGAAAGAAGGAGGAAGAAAGAAAGAATATAATGCAGAAAAAGGGAGGAAGAAAAAAGAATATAATGCAGAAAGAAGGAGGAGAAGAAAGAAAGAATATAATGCAGAAAAAAAAGGAAAAAAAGAAAGAATATAATGCAGAAAGAAGGAGGAAGAAAAGAAAAGAATATAATGCAGAAAAAGGGAGGAAGAAAGAAAGAAAATAATGCAGAAAGAAGGAGGAAAAAGAAAAGAATATAATGCTAAAAAGGGAGGAAGAAAGAAAGAATATAATGCAGAAAAGAAAAGAAAATAAAGAAAAAAAGGGAGGAAGAAAGAAAGAATATAATGCAGAAAGAAGGAGGAAGAAAGAAAGAATATAATGCAGAAAAAGAAAGGAAGAAAGAAAGAATATAATGCAGAAAGAAAGGAAGAAAAAAATAAGAAAGAAAAAGAAAGGAAGAAAAAAAAGAATATAATGCAGAAAGAAAGGAAGAAAGAAAGAATATAATGCAGAAAAAGGGAGGAAGAAAGAAAGAATGACAGAAAGAAACAGAAAAGGAGGAAGAAAAAAGAATATAATACAGAAAAAAAAAGGAGGAAAAGAAAAATATAATGCAGAAAAAGGGAGGAAGAAAGAAAGAATATAATGAAAAGAAGGAGGAAGAAAAGAAAGAATATAATGCAGAAAAAAAGGAGGAAGGAAAGAATATAATGCAGAAAGAAAGGAAGAAAGAAAGAATATAAAAAAAAGGGAAAAGAAAGAATATAATGCAGAAAAAAGGAGGAAAAAGAAAGAATATAAAGAAAAAGAAAATGAAGAAAGAAAAAATATAAAGAAAGAAGGAGGAAGAAAGAAAGAATATAATGCAGAAAAAGGGAGGAAGAAAGAAAGAAATGGTGAAATTGAAATGAAGAAAAATAGAAAGAATGAGAAAGCAAATTTTAACAAAAAAGAAAATGAAAGAAAGAAAATTAATCTAACTGAAAGAAAGAACGTAATACTAGCAGATTTTACGAAAAGAACTAAACGGTGTTCCAATAATTTGAACTGATTTTAAATGTGAATTAAGTTTAAGTGTCTAATGGGTTTTTTCTTCCAGTTTTAACAACGTAAGTATTTGGCAATTTCAACCATGGAAATATTAACAATCAAACAACTTGTTAAAGTTATCGAAGTCTATCCTGAAAATGAACGTTCAAACAGAAATGCAATGAAAAGTTCCCAGGTCACATCATCTCTCGAAACAGTGAAGTCAATTGGCCACCACGATCGTGCGACTTACCGCATTTAGATTTCTCCCTTTGGGGTCATCTCAAAAGTAAGGTCTATGCCACCAAGCCAACAACAATTCAACAGCTGAAGGATGAGATAATAAGGCATAATGGTGGGATCGAGTAGCAACTATGCAGAAGCTTCATTAAAAATTTTGACCATCGAGTGGAGGTGTGCCGCCGAAGCCTTGGCGAACATTTGGGCAATATTATTTTTCAAACATAATTGCCATGATTTAGATAACAGGATCCAATAGAGAAATAAATAAATTTTCACCAATTTATTTACTACTGACTTTGATCCGTCTTAATGTGACACCCTTATATATAATCCGTCTTAATGAAATAACCTATATGTTTAAATACTGATATAATAAAAGAGAATATATAAGATTTTAATTTTTGAAACGAAGAAAAAAACCCAAAAAGGAACAAAGAAAAATATGGAAAGAAAAGAAAGTGAAAAATAAAATATGCTGAGAAAGAAAGAAAGAAACAAAGAAAGAAACAAAGAAACAAAGAGAGAACAAAGAAATGTTAAAAATGGAAAGAGAAAAAAACATTTTTTTTTATTTTTATGCAGAAACGATGGTGGGGGTACCTTTTCTGCTTTTTGCCAGATTTATGGTTCAGTCAATATTATTTTGAATGATCGTTTTCACTGACAAAACCATTCTTTCTGCTATCATGCTTCTGCAGTCTTATCAACAGACAATGCCTTTAAGTATATTTGAAAGTTCCAATAATTAGGCTGTAGCGTCGAAATATTTTCCCTTCGGAATTTCCTCATTCAAACAAAATTATTCCGTTATATTTTTAAAAGTTTTACAAACCAACAATTTCCATCAAATCAATTCATTTTCGCCTCTGGAAATGGGAAGTCAATCAATTTACATACTCCCAAATGCAAAATATATCACAAAGTCTTTTTTTTTTCAGCTGTTTCGAGTTAGCCAAAAATATTCCTACTTTTCGATCTCGCCGCTGGTATCTGGCCGTGCATCTAACACTTCTCGTATGAAGACACGGCGTTGTTCTGGGGACGGATAACTGTTCAACATGCAGTATTTTTTCTTGAACTTCATTCTGTTTTGCCACAGACTGTTCATCGTGTTAAATGCATGGAAAACTTCATAACGCTTACTTTTCGAAAACTAGAGACTGTATATACAACAAAAAAATATTTTAAAGAAGAAAAATCACCGGACATTTATGACCCCACGTTTAACATATTTCTTTCAGTAGGAGAAATACTTTTGCAAGCGAAGCGTACTGTCCAGAGGATATCGATGGCGTTCGTGGTAAAGAACGAGAGAAATCGAGTGAGTAAGGAATCAAGATTTGTAGAGGTTGAATTGTGATGAACTGGTCCTCAGATATCAAAAGAAAGTGGCCTCAAGATGGAAATGGGTTGACAGATAAGGGCTGATTCGCTTGGATACGGGCATACCCGAAGGAGATGACAGAGCTTTTTCTTGTGATATAATGGACGGGTCAGCTACGGTCAAATATTCGGTAATGATTAGCTTGAGATCCCCGATAGCAAGGAAATTGAGACGGAGAAAAAAATCATGAAATCTGGAAAGAAATGAAGGAAAAAGAGAGAAGAAAAGTTATAAAAAAATATAAATGATGATGAAGACGAAAGGAAAAGAGACTAAAAAGGAAAAGAAAAGAGTTGGAAAATATTCTAGAAAGGCGTGCGTTAAATGAATGACAGAAAACACGGAATGCAAGCTTTAACAAGAAAGGGAAATCGAAGAATTATGGAACGGTGAAACTGTGAATGGTAGAAAGAAAATATATGTGCGGAAAAGAAAAGAAGGAAAACTAAGGAAAGGAAGGAAAAAGAAAGAATGAGAGAAAGAAAGTAAAAGTAAAAGAAATAAATTAAGAAACAAACAAGAAAAGAAAAGTAAATGAATTAAATTCTGAAAGAAAAGACAAAGAAAAATAAATGAAGAAAGAAATAAAAAAAGTAAATAAGCAGTGAAATAAAAAAAAAGAAGAAACAGTAAAGGAAATAAATTGAAAAAGAAAATTTGAAAAATAAATTAAAAATAATAAAAAAGGAAAATAATAAATAAATAACAACTAAAAATCTCAAGAAAGAAAGGAAAAGTATATAAAAGAGAAAAAAACGGAAATAACGAAAGAAAAAAGAAAGAAAATAATATTAAATAAATTGAGAAAGATTAAAAAAGAAATAAATTAAAAAAAAGGAAGGAATGAAGTAACAGTAAAGTGTAACATGTTAAAGGAAATAAAGAAAGAAAGATAGAAAAACGTTTATTACAGAAGGGGAAAATGATTGTAAGTAAAGAGAGAAATACAATTAACGATACCAGAGAGCAAATAAGCTCTTGTTAGATTCCATGCATGTCTGTCGAAACGACGGATAAAATGCAAACAATACTTCAATGTATAACATTGATTCCCCGATTCCTATATCTCAGGCGAAACTGACCTCATGACTTCAGGTCAAAGTTTACCTACCATCGCTCGTAAATATTCGATGCGTCTTCATTTCAGTTCAATTCAAAATAATAGGAGACGATAAATAAAACAGTCGGAAATTCTTGGACGAAACATGAACTGCCATATTAAAAGTTTTTACAATATATTTATTATTTGTTTCGGCTTTCAAGTCAGGTTTTTTTTCATTTTGATTTTTGCTCTTTATAAAAAAAAAAAAAAAATTCACCGAGCTGGTTCTGACTGACTCAAAGAAATAAAGCGACGGAGATTGAACCCCTGACGGCTAGATATGCCACCACTGTGTTAACCGTTAATATTAATGGTAATGTCGAGGGAGGCATGGTGGAGTAATGCATAGCGGCTTGGACTGGATTGAGGAATCGGAGAGCAGAGTTCGAATTCCAGTCGAATCCATTACATTCACTTACGTGCTAAGGTATGTATCCTCTTTTTCTCTCCCCAGCTATACGTAAATAGCAGGATGCTTTGGATAGCAACTGGTCTGCTGCAGTAAGAAATGGCAGCCTACTGCTTCAAAAAATCTGCCTCGTCAGTCATGTATCAAAAGATAGATCACCTAAACGTGTATCACGCATAACACATAAGTGACTGAATGTCGGAATTGTGTACAGTAACATGTCTTACCTTGACCGAAGAGTCGTTTGAAAATTATGAATATTTCATAAATAGGTTTTCAGGAAATAAATCTGAAGAGATGACTAATTGGGATCGTCCTGTCTAGTATGGATCAGAGCTTTCTGACAAAAGGTTGTTGTTTTTTATTTGCTTACGGAATGTTTGATTACCTAACGCCAGTCTATAGAGTCAGAGGAAGGATTATCTTCCTTAGAACCGAAATAATTCATTATCTTGAATCCGTTTTTTATTCGTGGCAAAACGGTTGCAAACAGCTGATATATTTAGTCATTGCTGAACGCATATTGGCAAAATGTACAACATACGTAGGAGAGGTCTTACGGCCATATAACATTGAAACACCGGTTCTCGTAAGATCACCGAAGTTAAGCAACCTAGAGCCTGGTCAATTCCGAGATGGGTGGCCGCTTGGGAATACTAGGTGCTGTAAGATTGGATGTGTAGAGTGTATAATGGGCATACGGCCATATCACATTGAAGCACTACTACTCGTAAGATCGCCGAAGTTAAGCAACCTAATCAATTCAGAGATGGGTGACCGCTTGAGAATACCAGGTGCTTAAGATTGGATACGCAGGGGGTATAATGGGCTTACGGTCATATCCCATTGAAACACCGGTTCTCGTCAGTAAGCTTGGCTGTGCAGTTTGAGTAATGGATAACGGCTCGGAATTTGAAATCAGAGAGACGAGTTCAATTTTCAGTCGGGTGCGTTATATTTACCCCCGATCAATTACCCTTGGGAAAGATATGAACGAGCCTCTACTTTCCTCAGCTATGGATTAATCAATAGGACTGGTATCAGCAAATAACTATTATTTAAAAAGAATATATAATCTAATGATATTTTAACCTGCAATATTTGAATAATCCATAAAAACCAATCAAACCAACCTAATCTATTCGAGGTGGGCACTTTGGCGTCGTGTAAGGAATCTTGTCTTGCTAGATAATTTGCGAGTAGTGAGTTCGTTTCTCACTGGGTGCTCCATTTTCGGTTTTGTGTAATATCTAATCTACACTTTGACAATCACTGGACACTTCGACGTGGTCTAATGGTTAGCAATCTTGAGGCACTAGATCAATTACAACATGAATAGTGAGTTAGATCCTCCCTGGGTGCCCTCTAATTTCGACCCTGTACCACATTAAACTACGCTTAGAAAACCACCTGGGTACTTTGACGTGGGGTAATGATTAGCAAGTTTGTCTAGCTAGATCAATTTGGAATGAATAGTGAGTTAGATCCTCACTAAGTGCCCTAAACTTCGACCTTGTGCCAGTTCTAAGCTACGCTATATGAAAGTCGAGATCTGACTAGGTTATTTAAGGAAATGACCCTAGTTATTGGGTTAATATTTTGCTTTTGTAGCAGTTTGTGGTACCGGACAAATGTACCCCTAGCTTAGCCTATTTTATATTCAATTTCCTTACGCCCTATTCGAAATTTGTTATAATTATTCCATACATCGAGGTATTTCTCGTGGTTAGAACTTGATTAATACTACATTCTGAAGTTTTATGATGAGTTAAAGGAATGTGTTATGATATTCACATTTGAATTTCAGTAACATTTGATTATACAAAGCATCATATGACTCAAGAAACAACAACCGAATCCGCGGTGACTTGTCTAAAGAGATTAAAAAAATAAGGTATAATGAAATGCTTAAAGAAAGAAAGTTTGATAGAAAAACACGAAAGAAAATGAAAGATTGAGGGAGTGAATGAAAAAGAAAAACAGGAAGGAAAATTAAAATAAATACAATAACAAAGAATGAAAAAAGCAAGAGAAAGAAAAAAAAAATAGTATATACTTTTGTCCCCAATTTGAAACAACAGACTAACGATTGCGCTACGGGAGTACCACTTATGCATTATGGGAAGGAAGAAGAAGTATACTAAATTTATTACTAACAAACTAACAGATGTCCTCAATCTTGAAACGGATTTTTATTTTGTTTTTTACTATAATGAAATTTTTTTCAAAATGGTAGTCTTTGAATATAATTTCTGATTATTATAATAAAACGTACTAATTGTCGGACATCTACTCATTACGTAAAAAATGGAAAAGTTATTTCCCTATTTTATGTCAATTGTAATGTCATGCTAATGTAATGTTATGCTAATACAAGTCTAATCATCCCGTTAAAATGACATCATAATGGGTAAGACTTAACTATTATGACTATTAATTATTCCTTTTAACTAACTTTTCGGGATATGCCGAGGTAAGAAGCTCAAAATCAGCCGATAGAAAATACATTCTAATCTCATACAGTTTCAACAAATATGACAGACATAATTAACTTGACACCTTCTCAGTGCCAATTCTAACATGATCTAGAAATAAAGACCTCTGTAACGATCTACCAAATAACAGTAAGCCATCAATATAAACACATGATCGTTCAATTACCGACTGATCACATTGATTAACTCAAAATATAATAGAAGTAGAGAGGTTTGCCTATCGTCCTGTTCACAAACGCGGCCTTTTTCATAAGAGTATAGGTCTATCCCTTGTTTCTTGCTTAGGTTTGGATTTCCAGTTTCTTCTAAAATCTTCTCATTCTCTTTTACTCGCAGGAACCCCTTGCGTCTTAGTGGCATTATCAACTTGCTTGGAATAAACTGATAAAAAATTGTTGAACAGTTATTGTCTTCCACAAGAATGTTTTAGTTCTATGACTAAATTTGAATTTGCTTTGTTCTTTTTTACAGATCAAAAAGATTGTACATATAAAAAAAAAATGTTTTCCGTATGTTTCTGTGAACTGCAGCCAGCAATAATTTCATTCAATGTTGGTTTTATGATCATTCTCCTACTGTGAAAGAAAAACTACAACACATTTCAATTCAACATTTAATCTCCTTTGCAGTAGCCTTCTTCTGAAGTCAAACACTTTATCCAGCTTCGTTTCCACTGATGGAAGCATTCCGGGAACTCGATTATTGCGGGGGTAGCGAGCCGCTGCCTCGCCGCATTATCTTGGATTTCCTCGACGTTTTGAAATGTGTTCTTGAAATGCTCTTGAATTATTTCTCTTGAAAATTTGAATAGGAAAATACTCAAAGGGTTGGATCTGGGCCGCTGCCTCGTCGGATCTTAGGATTTTTGTAATTATCCAAAAAATGCTGCACAAACTATGGTTGGATGGAATCTTCGTAGTTTTGAAACGACCAACTCTACACTTGAACCAATTTCTCTTGTAAAATTTGAAAGGAAAAACGTTTTAAAATGTGGGTTGGATTCTGGGGAATCTTTGGTTGTCGGATTCAGGGATTTTTTAATTATCCAAAAAATACTTTGGATCAGAACTCTATGGTTTATATTCACTTCAAATTGTTTATCCACTATTAGATAATGGTAAAATAAACCCTCTCCTTGACTAGAAGCTTACTGAAATGATAAGAGAGGGAATATAGCTTTTATAAAAAGATAATATCAGAAAAAAAAAGGAACGAAGAACGTTTTATCTTAATGTTCAATAGGAATAAAGACAATCAGAAAACATGCATTTTTGATAAAGGCTTCAACTCTAAATTTTCCTTTATCTTCTAGTACAATAAAAAAATGTTTGGATACAAAATTTTAAATAGTTTTAAAAACAAAACCATTATTTTTATATTCACTTCAAATTCTTTATCCCTTTAGCCAACATCTCATGGGAGACAATCGTTGGATACTCTCGAAATGAACTAGCGATATTGCTTTACTGAAATGAAAAAACGAACAAATATATACTTGTAACGAGGTATAAGTTATCATTGTAAATAAATAGCGATCAGTTAAAAAAAATTCAGATTTGAGGGCGGATAAATTCGAACTTTCTCCATAATTTTATTTCTAAAAGTATAATAGAATATCTTTTTAATCAATTGATTCAAAACATGCATTTGCTTCGATAAAAACACTCAGAGGACTAAACAAGTCGGCTAAATTTTCCTTTTGTCTTTATTTATATATATATATATATATATATAGAGAGAGAGAGAGAGAGACTGAGAGAAACAAAGACAGAGACAACTAGAGACACACTCACATATAAACAGACAGTGATAGATAGATAGATAGATAGATAGATAGATAGATAGATAGATAGATAGATAGATAATGTTTTGGTTACATTCGTCTTTATGTTAAGGATTTTAGAACCAGAAAATGAAATAAATAGAGTAAATCTGAGTGAATGATTACAGGATCACGAGAAAAGAAAACGCAGGAGAGTCTAAAACTCAGAAAGACAAAGAGAACTGAAGAGATGTTTCAATAAAGACAACAAAAAAAGACTCGACGAATGAAGAATAATGATCATTCAAGGTTAGACAGAAAAAAAGATGAAAATCAAAAGCTTCCATTATTGACATTTGCAGAAAGTGGCAACTGCCATTCTGCAAAAGCTTCTTTCTTTTTTTTTTTTTTTGGCTGATGTGGCAAGCAAATGACACTAAGTTACTTACTGGATGCCTTATAAATATGGCTTTATGCCAAGCTTGGTTTGGTTCAGCAAACTTCCTATTGCTATTTAAATAAATACATCGTGTGTACAAGAATTCGTGAATATCGGCGCCTATATTGGCATTTTGGAAAAGAAACGTGACAATGTATTCGAACAAGAAAGGCATTTAATCTGAAAAAATCGTTAAGGGGCGAAACGATATAAAGTTGTCTCATTCGCAAGTCTTTTTCAATCGATTAACCTAGTCGCCTCCTGTAATTGTACGTGTTCACGTACTGAGAAAGTAACTGCATACTGGTGTTAATTCTTCGCATATTGACGACACTGTCTCTCAAATATGCTTCCTTTCTTCATTAAATTTATATAGAATAAGCAGCATAAGAATTCATCAGATAATTTTAACTCATCAATGGGCTCTCTGGATTTGGTAGAATCTTCAGACCTAATAGGACTATTTCTCCTGTATAACCTTACAGCATTTGATGTGTGGAGATTGATAGCGACGATGTTCTAATGGTAGTTAATGAATATACTCGAAGTAAGGTCGATAAAATTAGAAAAATAATACTTAGGACGTTTAAATCGTTCGGTCTTAAGGTAGTTGTCAATGCTAACCTTAAACAAGTTGATTTCCTGTTACAATTAATTTAACGATGAATAATTTCCAACCTTACATGAAAATTAACGCTAACACAGTGTATATTCATCCTAACTCCAACCACCCACCGTCCGTAATCAAACATATTCCATGATCAGAAGAACGGCGAATTAACCAGCCCTCTTCTAGCAAAGAAATATTTGAAAAACATAAGACGATCTATGACAAAATCCTTAAGGATAGTAGTTATAAATCTTCAAGAATCGAATTTGTGGAAAATTACGATCATTCCAAGAAGACAAACAGAAAAAGGAAAATCATATGGCATACTCCTCCATACAATCAATTAGTGCGTACTAAATTAAG